CCCTTTTCTTTTTTTTTTGAGTTGGAGTCTCACTCTGTCGCCCAGACTGGAGGGCAGTGGCTGCTCCCGGCCACCACAGCCTTGACCTGCTGGGCTCCGGCGATCCTTCCGCCTCAGCATTCCAAGTAGCCGGAATTACAGGCATGCGCTACCACACCCAGCTGATTTTTTGATTTATTGTAGAGATGAGGTCTCGCTGCCCAGGCGGGTCTCGAACCCATGGGCTCAGGCAATCCACTCACCTCAGCCTCCCAAAGGTGCGGGATTACAGGCTGAGCCACCGAGCCCAGCTGATCCCTTTTCTTAAACTGAGTGTTTATATGTTCTCACATGCAAAATTGGGGAGTCAAGAGGGGACATTTTTGTTGTGAGAGTTAAATAGGATGATATGCAAAAAACCAATTTGTTTATTTGTTTAAATCTGTCCTTGGGATATATCAATGACATTTCAATATACAGCTGCTTCTGTTTTTACCAGAGATAAGAGATTGGGTTAGAAACAACAGATCCTGAGCAACTTAGAGAGAACATAAGGTGGGGTAATTTACGAGGTATGGTCACCTGTGAGATTGTTGATAAATATCAGAATTAGAAAGAAAAGATCTAAAAAAGATACACACAGATGTGTAGTGATAGGCACAGTCTAGAGGACAGTGAGTTCAGCCTATCTATTTACAGCAGACCAAATCTTATGGGTGAGAACTAGGATGCACCAAGGTCAAGGGAAATTGATAGTTTTAGTCTTTATTTTTCAAGGAGTTCCAAAAGCCCACTGAATGGCCAGAAATCTATTAAAATAAGTAAAAACGTCTGCTGCTGTATTCAAGGACCAGACTACATAGTTAACACAGCAGAATCAATGAGGAATTTTTGATGACATGCACCAGGTGTAACACGCTATATGAAAAGCCCAAGTGCACTCACAATTCATTGTAGGCAAAAGAAGTCCTATAGATGAAGCCTCCTCTCCAGTTGGGCAGCGGGAAATCTGGGTGCAGAGCAACAAGGACAGGGGCAAGGCTGAGCCACACAGGACTGCAAGACCAGGCACTGGGAGCAGCCAGACTCCGACTCCATACTGAGGCAAGTTTCCAATGCTCTGGTTAAAAACTTTAAAAACTTAAAATAAAAACTGCAATCCACAAGCTGCATGCTCTTGGTAAGTAACTCATCTCTCACTTTACTGACTCAGAGTCTCATGCACCCAATTATACATGTAAAATTACAGAACCTACTCCATAGAGCTGGTGTGCAGAATCATGAACAAATATCCATCACCATAGACACTGCTCTAGGAGTAGAGAATACAGGGGGAGAATACAGACAAGTTCCCTGCTCTTATGGATGTTGCATTCCGATAAAAGAGAGACGACCAATAGAGAAATGCAAAATATGTGATAAGATGTGAGGACAGCTCCTCCATGGATATGATGTTGAACAGAGATTTTAAGGGTTGAGAGAACATGCCAGGCAGAGGGGACAGCAGATACATAGCCCTGACTCAGGAGTGTGATTGGTATGTTTAAGGACTTGCAAGGAGACCATTGTGGCTCCTTTGGGGAATGAGGGAGGGACAGTGGTAAAAATGATTTCAAAGAGGCAATGGAGGCTAGGTCATATTGGGCTACACTGTCCAATTTGGTAGTCACTAACTAAATGTGTCTATTAAGCACTTGAAATATGGCTCTAAACTGAAATGTGCAGTAAGTGTCAAACACACTGGATTTTCAAAACTTAGCACAATAAAAAGAATGTAAAATATTTCATTAAAAATTGTTATATTGATTATATGTTTAAGTGATAATATTTTTTATATAAGTTAAACTATATCATTGAAGTTGGTTTAACTTTTTTTCTTTTCACACCTTTAATGCAGCTACTAGAAAATTTACATTATGTATGCGGCTCACAAGATATAGTGACACTTATAGGTGACAGTCATGAGTTTGACGTTTATGTTCAGCAATATGGAAAGTTTGTAGAAATGCACATAAAGTACCTACTTATTATATTTCTCAGCATCTAGTGGGAAAAGTTAATGAATCAAGAATTCTATTCACAAGCAAGTTGTTCAAATACAAAGGCAAATAAAGTATCTGGGAGGAAGACATTGGGTTTGAGAAAGAGGAATAAATAACAAAACTAGTAAAAGTAAAGTTTAAATAATTGTCTAGAATGTAGTGATGAAGTTCACTGAAATCAGCGATTAACGATTGTTGAAATATGAAAGTAAAATAAAAGAGAATCTGACAAACAGATTAAATAAATTAATCTGAATGAAATAGACTCTATTCCTAAACTCCAGATGGATCTGAGAAATACAGGCAAAAAAATAAAATCATATAAGTACTTCATTTTAGCTATCCTGGTTTTATGCCATGATGCCAGTGAGGTTAAAGACTTTTTATGAGATTATTAGCTACTTGCATACCTTCTTTTGTGAAGTACACATTTAAAACTTCTATCCATTTTTTGGGTAGTGCTGTCTTTTTATTTCATATTGATTTGTAGGTGTTCATATATTCTAGATAAGAAACCTTTGTCCAATACATGCATACAGATATGTTATCTCAATCTTTGACTTGCCTTTTCATTCTTTTATTGATATTTTTAATCAGAATAGAAGTTTTAATGTAATCCAAATTGTTCAATCTTTTTCTTTATGATTGGTGCTTCATGTGTTGTATTTAAAACATCTTTGTCTACCCTAAAATTAGGCTGATATGTTATCTTCAGGAAGCTTAAAGTTTTACCTATCATACATATATCTATGATCATCTCTAGTTTTTGCGTGTGGTGTTCAATAAGGGCCATGGATCATTTTTTTCATGTGGATGTCCAATGGACCCACCACCATGTATTGAAAAGATAACCCCTTTTTCACTACACTGCGATGCCACTTTTGTTATAAATCAAGTGACAATCCATATGTAGATCTGTTTGGGACTCTTTAATCTGTTCCTTTGTCTACTTGTCTGTCCCTGTGTTAATAGTATTTTGTATTAATTAATATGACGTTAATGTATATCTTTTTTTTTGAGTTGGAGTCTCACTCGGTCGCCCAGACTGGAGTGCAGTGGCCGTTCCTGGCCACCGCAGCCTCGGCTGCTGGGCGATCCTTCCGCCTCAACCTTCCGAGTAGCCGGAATTACAGGCATGCGCTACCAGGCCTGGCTGATTTTTTAATTTATTGTAGAGATGAGGTCTCGCTGCCCAGGCAGGTCTCGAACCCACGGACTCAGGCAATCCACTCACCTCAGCCTCAGCCTCCCAAAGGCGCGGGATTACAGGCTGAGCCACCGAGTCCAGCTTTATTTTAGCAGTTTTGACAGTCTGTCTCTCTATGTCTCTCAGTCTTTCTCTCTGACTCTCTCTCTCTCTCTCTCTCTCTCTCTCTCTCTCTCTCTCTCTCGTTGCAAGCACATAAAACTGCTGAACAATACTAACAAAAAGTAAATAATAATATGATTTAAATCTAAAAAATAAATATTCATGGACTCTTATTGATACCAAGAAATTAGTGAATAAACAAGTGAGGGAAAGGAGACAGCTCTTCCTTACAGAATAATTCCAAATACTAGATATAGAAGAATTGAGGGAAATAGAAAATCATCATTTTTTCAGCACAGTAAAAACTACTGCAAGCAAAACCCACTGATGAATGCAAAATTAGTGAGCAAAAGTTCAAGGAAAAATGGATATTTGCATAGCTTTAACATATCTCCACTAAAATAATTATTAATTACTGTGATGGTTTTAACTTGTCCCCAGATTTTTGATATGCCCTTCTTCAGCAGGTGGAGCTTAACACCCCTCACCTTGAATGTGAACTGGACTTAGGGACCTGTTTCTCACTAATAGATTCTGGGCAGGGAAACATAGTAACTTTACAGTGAAGAAAACTGGCAGGCACTACCTTAACCAAGTGATACAGGAGAATATCCCCATGAACAAGATATATTGACATCATGTGGCCCATACAATGCAATGAGAAAGGAGCTTCATCTCTGTGTTGTTCTTCCCAAAAATCCATAATCCCATTTCTAGTCATCAGAAAACCTCAGAGAAACTCAAATTAAGGGATATTCTAAAAGAGAACTAACCACTACTCTTCAAAAGTGTTAAGGCCATAAAAGAAAAAGACACTAAGAAGCTGTCACAGATTGGAGGGAAGCAAGGAGACATGACAACTAAATGTGGTATGAGGCCCTGGATTGAAGTCTGCAACAGAAAAGAAACATCAGTGGATAAACAGAAATCTGGGTGAAATTGGATCTTACTGTTCCCAGCCTGGTCAGCCAGCCCCGAGCCTTCAGACAGGTCCAATTAAGCTAAAAGGTTCATTACCTCTACCTGTTCTGGCAAAAAGGCACAATGAAATGACCTCTAATGACCTCTAAACCTACTTTTCTCCCTGGCCTTTTTTTTTTTTGAAGTCCACCCATGTATGTCAAGCATAGTATTGCACCAATGTTAATTTCACAGTGTTCAAAAGCACACCATGACTATATAAGATATCAATATTAATAGAAGTTGGGTGGAGTGTATACGAGAACTCTCTGCACTAGCTTTACAACTTTTCTGTACATCTAAAATTATTCAAAATAAAAAGCTATACATTTTCTGGAAAATAAGTTCAGAAGTCTCTTCAGAGTGGTTATCAGATACATATATACAAGTAGGTCCATTTTCTATATTATATATTTCTGAGCATAGCTTTTCCCCCTACTTTTTAAAAAGTAGTATTTATAATAAATAATATTTACATTTTTAAAGACTCACTCTGGGAAATTAGTATGAAGAAAAACTATTCTGGTCAAAAGACTAGAGCAGAGAGAATGCCATTGCTTAGGACAAAAGTATCAAGAAATTTTAGCATATTTTGGGTCAATAAAGGTACTGTTTGGTTCCTGAAGCATGGTTTGTTTGTTTGTTTGTTTGTTTGCTTGTTTGTTTGTTTGTTTTGAGGAGCAATAAGGATATAGAAGATGGTTACTCACCAAGGTGACTTTCCTTTGTGGTTTCAGTAGCTTCGGTTTATGGAACATGGGGGTTATCGGAGCTGTGGAAGTAGGTCAAGGATTTAGCTTGCAGTTCCTTCCAGGACTCCTAGCAGTCACATATCATGAGCATCATGGACATATTCTGTACAAATCCACAGATCTCTTCCTGGTCCCCTGGAATAACTCCAGTTTCTGATCCAGGTATCACTGGGTGTCCCTCAGTGGAGGGTGTTTCTCCCCTAGTCTTTGGATGTGTCATTTTTTTCCCTCAACAAGCTCAGCCAAACAACTCTGGATAAAAAACACTGCCAGCTACAAAAGTGGTCAGGTGTGCCAGTGAGAACCAGGTGAACCCAGTGAGGACTGAGGCTGGGACCTTCCCTGCAAGATGCCATCTTACCCTCACACTGGCATCGATTGCAATAAACTTTGATCCTCATAGCAGCCCTGTGAGGCCTCAGAGAGGGTTTACCAGCCCTATTTAACAGGGAAGGAAACTGAAGTTCTTACTTGAACATCTGGAATTTGAACTTTGGATTGAAAGCCAAGCTCTACCACTTAGCTCTCTGTCTCATTTTCATCTTTCATAAGGTAAAGTAATATCTAGCCTAGAATGAATGCAACACATAGCAGTATGGAACCTGGCCCAGAGAAGGCACCCTCTACTCCCTTCCCTCCAAGTCTACACTTGTCATGACTTCCCAGTATGACCACGCCTTCCAGCCCTTCTTTCCACTCAAGGTGTGTTCAGCCTCACCACCACTGGCTTCCTGACAGGGCTTGAAGAGTTCCTAGGGTACATTCTGTGAAGGCTCAGTTGAGAAATAAAATGTATCTTATCTTGTTATTAAGTTGTTTATCTGGGCAATTCTTGTATTCCCAACTATATTTCAAATTTGTTGAGGTGTGAACATCGAAACTGGCCAGTTATTTCAGGAATTATCTATAGACAGATTTGGTTCTCCTCATACTTGTGCAGTTATTTCCTCCAGAAACAACCATCTCACAGCATAACACCCACTGAACTCTAGAACAAATGTGAAATAAATTGCTTACCTGGTTGACATCTTTACAAATTTAGAGAACCTTCTTTCCCTTGAATGAACCAAGAAGATCTCCTTGCCCCACCCTGCCACGTGTAGGGTGTTTTAATAGTTCAAAATGAAATACAATGTGGAATCATCTGTGAAGGTTGATTCTCCCCCCACCATGGTGTCACTGCCACCCCCACCCCAGGGACTAATGGTAGAGCACCAATCGTGACCAGAATCTAAGTGGGGTCTCCAGACCATACAACCACTAAACCGTTATGTCTTCCATCTACCTATTCCTCCTGTTCTGATTCCACATGGAACCCCAGACCCATCCCTGGATCAATCATGATGATTTCCATATGGAAAATTGCAGGCCAGCTTCCTACCTTTGGCAGGGACTGCAGGAGGAATATCAGCCTTCTTCTTCCGCCTCTTGCCTTTCTTGGGCTGCAATGGGGCCAAGCTGGTCACACTAATGACAGTCTCACCTGAGCTGTAGAAAGAAAAAGGTTCTAGTTAAGTCAAAGACAGATTTGTTGCAAAGGAGAAAGGGGAGGACCAATAGTTTCTGAGTGTTCCCTGTGTACCTGTGTAAAGAAGGGTTATCATATAGTTGGACAATAATTGCTCTATACTTATATCCAGAGATGTCTGGATATCTGGTACTGACCTTTGCTCAAGATAAGAAGGATAAGCTAAGCTAACTTAGTTATTTATAATGAATGTGTTGTTTACAGTTCAAAATTCCCTGGAGGAACCTAGAGCCAGTTTGTCTATGTTGTTTAGGGATGTGTGGGTTGATAGTGTGCACCTCTGGTTTAACTGGTTATACAGTCTGGTTTGGCTACATCGCCAGCAGAGTGTTACAGATGCCACTAGAAATTTCTGCTTAAGCTCACCTAAAACTAAGATTCCCTGCACATGTCTTTATAATCCACAGGCAAACACCACTGGAGCAACTGAGAAAGGACCCTGAAGAGCTGCATCTAGACATCTCTGGGGTCACCTATGATTGCTGGAGCTTTCTTCTGCTGTAACTTCACCTTCAGTACAGGTGAAGTGAGTTTGCTCTGAGGAGCGCTGTGACAGTTTCCAATTATCTGACCCTTTGTAACCACTGGATTTGGGTTCTTTCTGTATGCCACCCATGATGACACAAAGTGATAGGGAAGATAAACCTTTTATGTTACAGGAAAAAAAGCTAAGGCTTAAAGATGTTACACGATTGCTTTAAGGGACACCTGGCAACAGTGAACAGGAAAGCTACAAATGTAGGCTGCTCTGATGTAAAGACTGTTCTTGGTGCTTGCTACCTGTGGTATAGAGTTCACAAACTTTCTTGAATGGTGGTCAGTCTTATTTCAAATGCTTCCTCTTGGCTCCAGCAACCCAGAGGATGTATCCTTTAGGATCTCTTGTCTTCATGACCCAGTCAGGCAGGTCCAGTTCTCAAGAGAAGCTATTTCCCTGATGCACAAAGAACTTTTTAAAATGTATAAAAAGATGACCCAATCATCCAAATGAAAGAAGGTGATAAACAGGCAGATATCACACAAAAGGAAAGGCTCCTTTACGTGGGAAGCATACCAAAGCTCCTTCATAAAAGAAGACTTTAAGTAAAGATGTATTGACTTCTTCACAAGTCAGAATGGCTACAATCAAGTTTGAGGCAAGGTACTACTGGGGTAAGAGTGCAGGGAATCAGGGAATGCAGAAATATTGCTGATAGGAATGTGACCCCTTCCTGATGGAGAATGATTTAGTAACATCTATCAAAATTACAGAGCACAATAGTTTATTGTATATTTCAAAATAACTAAAAGAGTGGAATTGGAATATTCCTAACACAAAGAAATGATAAATGTTTGAAGTGATGGATATCCCAGTTACCCTGATTCGATTATTACATATTGTATGCTTGTATCAAAATACCACATGTACCCCATAAATATGTACAACTAATATTTATCTATAATAATTAAAAATTTTTTTAAATTTAAATTACACAGGCTTAGACTCTTTGATCTGGCAATTTCACTTCTAGAAATTCATTCTATGGAAATCCTTGTGCGTGTATGTATAAATGATATATGTATAAGATTAGTCATTACAGCACTGTAATAGCAATAGATTAGAAAAAACCCAGCTATCCATCAGTAGAAGACTGGTTGAGTAGATTATGGTGAATCCATACATGGTTGTAAAGCACAAAGAAGCTATTTATGTCCTGATAAGGAAAGATACTTGTTAAATGAAAGAGTTACATGCTGGACAATGTGTAAAATATGCCACTTTTGTATAAAAATAGGAGAAAATAAGAATATATATTAGTATTTGCTTGCATATGCATAAAGAAATTCTGGAAATAGTCATAGGAACTTAAAAACAGCAGTGCCCTAGGTTATTGAGGGGTTGTTGAGGACTAAACAGATAGGGGACAGGGCAAGGAGAATTACTGGTAGATATGTTTTAATTAAATAAAAATAAATATTGAATATAAGTAATGAGATAGGTTATTCTAATAATAGTCCTAGATATTTAAAAATAAATAAAGACTGAACCACACATTGTAAGAAAAATTTTAAGAATACAGTTCCCAGCCAGGCTCGGTGGCTCAGCCTGTAATCACGCGCCTTTGGGAGGCTGAGGTGAGTGGATTGCCTGAGCCTGCGGGTTCGAGACCCGCCTGGGCAGCAAGACCTCATCTCTACAATAAACCGAAAAAAAAAATCAGCCGGGCATGGTAGCACAAGCCTGTAATTCCGGCTACTCGGAAGGCTGAAGCGGAAGGATCGCCGGAGCCCAGCAGGTCGAGGCTGCGATGGCCGGGAGTGGCCACTGCACTCCAGTCTGGATGACAGAGTGAGACTCCAACTCAAAAAAAAAAAAAAAGAAAAAAAAAAAAAGAATACAGTTCCCACTGAAATTCTCCAAAGATGACTTATTTTTATTGGGAACAGGGATCTAACTGGTCATAGCTTTTGAGCACAGGGTCAGCTGTGTAAATTCACAAATAGTCAAAAGGAATGTGAATGTATGAAACTCCGACCACTAAGAGTAAACAAGGGATCAGAAACTCTCAAAATTGCTTAAATATACAACCACATGTTCAACTTCATTCTGTAGCTTTTTAAACTCTTGAACGGTTTATTTTTCCTTTCCATTATACAATAATGAATGTCCATGTTTTAAATTAGAAATTACAGGCATTGGGGACCAAAGAAAATAAGTGTGTCATAACCAGAATACAACCTTTATAAATACATTCACTCTTGTTCCTCTTCCTTGGTTTTTAATTAAATAGTTTTTATTTTATTTTATTTTTTGAGTGGAAATCTAACTCTGACACGCAGGCTAGAGTGCAGTGGCATGATCATAGCTAACCACAGCCTTGACCTTCTGGGCTCAGGTGATCCTTCCTCCTCAGCCTCCCAAATAGCTGAGACTACAGGTGCGAGCCACCACGCCCAACTAATTTTAAATTGTTTTTTGTAGAGAGGAGGCCTTGCTATGTTGCTTAGGTTGGTCTCAAACTCCCAATCTCAAGCATTCCCCCACCTCAGGAATTACAGGTACCAGCCACCGTGCCTGGCCTAAACAGACTTTATTTTTGAGAACATTTTTAGGTTCACAGTAAAACTGAGTAGACAATGAAGAGATTTCCCATATCCCTCCTACCTCCACACATGCATAACCTCCCCATTATTGACATCCTCCAGTAGAGTGGTACATTTATTGCAATTCATGAACCTACATTGATATATCATTATCACCCTGAGTCCGTAGTTTACGCTAGGGTTCGCTCTTAATGTACTGTATATTCTGTCAGTTTGGACAAATTTATAATGGCATGCATCTACCATCACAACATCATATAGAGTAGTTTCACTGCCCCCAAAATCCTCTGTGCTCTACCTGTTCATCCCTTCCTCCTCCCTAACATCCCCACCGGCAGCCACTGATCTTTTAACTGTCTTGAGTTTTGTGTCTTCCAGAATGTCATACAGTTGAGATCATGTAGTATGTAGACTTTTCAGACTGGCTTCTTTCACTTAATAATATGCACTAAAGGTTCCTCCGTGTCTTTTCATGGCTTGACAGCTCATTTCTTTTCAGCACTAAATAATATTACACTGTCTGGTTGTACCACAGTTTATTTCTATTTCCACCTACTGAAGGACATCCCGGTTGCCTCCAACTTTTGGCAATTCTGAATAAACTGCTATAACCATCCATGTACAGACTTTTGTGTGGATCTACATTTTTAAACTCTTCCTTGTTTTTACACATCTTAAAAACATACTATATTATAATATTGTCTCCTTCTTTTTACTTAATTTAAATTTTTCATATTGTTACATTCTCGCATTTTTCCAGTGAGAAGATTAGCCATTACCCAACATCTACACCTAGTTTTTTCTTAGTTTTACTCAAAAATAACACTGCTAAAAATATATTTGTGCATAATGGTTTTCCATTCGTAGACTTTGATTTAGGGGGTTGAATTTCTAGAGCTGGAATCACTAAGTCACAGAGCATAACCACACTAAAGGCCATTTAATATCCTCTGTCAAAATGGGTTCCAACAAGTTACAGTCACCCAGTCAACAAATGAGGGTATCTGTGTTGTCACCCTCCTTAACACCAAGTTTGCCAATTTAAAAGAAGAACGTATTTAATGAGGAAAACTGTGATTCCCTTTTGACCTGCATTTCTTTGATTCCCTAGTGAGGTATGCACGCTTCCCATGTTTGTCTAATGAGTTTTCTCATTCATGATGCATGGACATCCTCTGCTATTATTTATTTAGGATCTTGAGTTTTTTCTTACAGGTTTACATGCAACTTTTACATTAGTCTGACATATTTATTACAAATATTTCCCCCACTTCCTTTGGAATTTTGGCTTTTTATTGAATGCACTGTTTTTCTTTTCTTTTCTTTCTTTCTTTTTTTTTTTTGGCTAATGTCTTCTGATATTTTCCTTTCTTCTATTGCCTCTAAGCTTGAATAGTCTCCCCAGCTTCACTCACACACTGAAGAATTAAATATTATTTTCACTTTCTCTTCTCTTGGATTTAATTCTTCAGCTCATTAAGAAAAAAATGGAAGTTTCTGAAACGATTTACATGAACGTATGCCATCATGCTCAGGGATTTCAGTCAGCTGAAAAAGATCTGCTTTGTCATCACTATTTTCCTTCAAAATAGTAAAACTCCACTAACTAAATTTAGTTCTAATTCATATTTCAACAATCTGATCTCATGTAGACAATGAGTCGCCACAATGACACAGAAGAGACAATTTGTTCTGAGTCTTGTATCTCCCATTGAGCCAGCAGGGCTGATAGGAAATTTTGACTATGAAAGTCACCTTATGATTAACCTACAAGAAAAGTTATTCTATATCTTGGGTTGGAACAGGGCTATATTTTGTCTCTGACACAACAGAGAACGTCTTGTTGGAGCCAGTCAAACCAAGAGAAATGGAAAACAGGCC